CACAGCAGGACGATTCCCCTTTTCAGAAGCCTTGGAAACGGCTAAGCAGCATGTGCTGTTTTCATACTTTTGCATAACGTCAATGCTTAGCTTGCAACATTTTCAGTTCTGTGCATTTGTTTAATTGCATCCAAATGCTTTTATCCCTCGTTGTTCTTTCCTCGCCTTGGGGTTCTGCATGGCTTTGGTGAGCCTCATTTCTGAAACACACCTCCAGCACGAGCACAATTCCCATCAGAGTTCTCTCACCCAGTCCTGGGAATCACGCCAGCTTCTGTAATCTTCCCTCACGCTCTTTTCAGAAAGAATTTAATCCAGTCTCTTTTCTCCCATCCCTCCTTTTTCTGCCTGGCACTCTCTGCCAACAGTAGCCCTGACTCCGCATCCACCCCTCACAAACCAGAAGCCAGGTAGGCATGTCATTCCTGCTGAGGTTCCTCCACAAGGAAGGTCACAATCCTATGCAAGTTTAGACAGAAGAAAAGGATTAGGGCATGCTGGGAGTTGCAAGCCTTTCTGCAGATTAAACTGGCATAACCCTCCTTAGGTCATGTCCTCCCTACATTTCACGGGGTTCATCTTGTCACGATTGCAAAGACACATTCTTCCAACCACTTCCTTTGCCCGGTGCTTAATGGAAGTTCTGGGTCTACCTAAGCAGCGAGAATGAAAGGGCAGAGGGCAGTGCTCCGCCTTAGACCACAGGCAAAGGAAGCAACGCTTTAAGGGCTCCCCCAAGTCACCAAACGCCATCCCTGCATGTCAAAGCAAACCTTGCCGAGTGTGCTCTTCTGCTGTAATTTCACCAATTAAATAAAAGAATCGTTTAAATCTGTGATTCTCCCCATCAGCAAACACCCACAGCCTGCTATGGTACAGTCCATTTTACTACCGTTTTCCATGTGATTTACCACCTTGGCATTGTATAATGATTCCTGAGAGTAAAGCAGTCACATTACTTTAAATCTTCCTTCAGTCACAGATCTGTTAGCTAGGCAGCCTTAGGTAACCTACACAGTCTATCACAAAGTCCCACCCCCAATATGGGGATAATCGCACCTATCTTACAGGATGCACGACACTGGAAAACCTGTTTAGTCTGAGCGCAAGGAATTTCAATACATTTCTGATCCAATGGTCAAAGGCATGTCAAGCTGGAGAAAGGGCAGGTTCAGCCTCCACCAAATTGCTGTATCTATTTCTGGAAACATGGGGTCAAGAAGAGCTTATCGCTAGTGAAATCTCTGCAAATTGCAATTTGCCAAAATCAGGGTCAACTCAACAGTTGCTCTTGTTCTTGTTGTTGTAGCATTTAACAGAAGAAGTATGGAAGCACCTCTTCTTCCTGTGCATATGTTCACTTCCCCCTTGCCTTTTCTGAGTTTCTGATTCGTGCAAAATTCAGACGTCCACTCCACAATTTGTGCAAATTATGTGATTTGCAGAGCAGAGCCCCAATTTTTGTACAAATTTCCCCAGCTTAAAAAAACGCAAATCACCACCTGCTTTAAAATGGAAGTTCAAATGCTCACTTGACTTATTTATTTATTTAAAAATTTTCTATGCCGCCCCCATCGCAACAAAGCCTCGGGGCGGCTTGTGTCAGATCAAGCCAACACCCACAGAGGATAGAACAGAATCAAAGAAAATCCATCACATTTTCACCCCCATATCAGATTCTTCAAACATCCCCACTTAATAGGGTTGTTGTAAGAAGCACCAACAAGATATGCAAAGCACTTTGCATATATCCCAAGTGCTAAACACATTTCCGTGATCCAGCAGCATTCGAAACATCATTATTAGCACTCCTAATATTATTGACAGTGAATGCAGCACTCACCACAGAATAAGCTGTCTGTGGATGGCACCCAAACCTGCCCCACACAGCAGCCAAGTGGTCAACCCACTTGGCTGTTAAAAAGGGATGCGGGCCAAGGAGGAAGAATCATCTCTGATCACAGAACAGGTGGGGGAGCCCTCTGCCTCCTCTTGAGCGTTCTTCCAGCAAAAAGCAGCTGCTTAGAGGGGTTGCACTTCCCTATGGTTCGACTTCTGCAATGGTTAAGATCAGCAGATGCTCCAAGAGGGAGGCTTCCAGATGTGTCTTGCCCTGGGGTCCCTCAGCCAGGGAGAACGCCAAGTGCAGGCATGCTTGGACCTCAGCCACGGCCAGCAGGGGCCCGTTGGCACAAGCCACCCGGTTTGCCTGTCAGCTTCACCACTGCGCCCTGCTTCTTCACGGGCCCCTTCTCTAGCCCAGAAGATGATGGGGACAAAAAGAGAAGCAGCAAACACTCGCTTGGCAGCTCTCTGCCTGCCATGTCAATAGGTTGTAGCAATGATGGGGAAAGGACAAGCAGCACCAGGTGACCATGGAAGAGTCACCGAGCGAGGTGGCCCACTGGAGGAGGGTTGTCCAAGGATGCTCAGAAATCTGGAGCCAGCCCAGGTTTCAGGGTGTTGGCAGGGACTTCGTCATTCCAGGTACCATCACATTTCCAATTCCCAAGCAGCTCATTAATGCACCTTCTGATGGGCCAACTATACACGAATCCAGACCAAGCTTCTGTCTCTGCTGGCTTTGTTAGAGCAGCTTCACAGGATGGCTTTCTGCCTCTCCATCTACCAGTCCTGCTTCCTTCTTCCAGAACGCCTGCTTCCCTCCTTCAAAGTCACCTGTCTAATGCGTCACCTTTCTGTGTGTGCCTCCTTTCCAGCCATCCCTTCAGACAAACTTTTTTGAACGGCTACTGGCCTTCACGTGAGTCTGATTTGATGGCCAGTGTCATCCATATTCACCCATATTTCAGTCCCAGTCCTCCCTCCTCAGCTCCCTGTTGCATCTTGGCAGTCTACAGCCTGGCCCCAAACCAACAAACTGCAGCTCACAGAAGATGTTTGAATGCATTCAGGATGCACTGAAGTGTTACTCTGTGTTCAGTGCTTTGCACTGCTTGCCTTACGGTTACCTCTAAGTTGATGGAGAATGGCTCTTTTGTTTTCCTGCATCAGAAATAAGGAACAAGCAGCTGCCTTGCACAGATTGCACAATCTACAGTGAAGGAAGCACTATCTTTCTAAAGAGGAATCCCACAAGTCTAAAACAACTTCCATCTGGTGGTTTGGGAAAAGCAGGTTTCTACAACTTACTTATGGAAACTGAACACTATTGATTTAATTTAAATTATTTTATTGACTGCCTTTTATCAAATTTTCCATAGATTAAAATCCAATACAGCACTATCAGAAATCAAAATACAATACAAATTCCCATGAAGCTAGATGATTTTCGTCCAACCACACTCTCAACCAAGCCTATCTCATGTTGTGAAGACATAGGGAGGAGGGGGGAAAGACTCACATATGCCCCCTTGGAAGACAGGTGGGCTATTGACGTAATAACTTAAATGAGGGCTACTCAGGTGGCCACTTACAAGCTCAGGTTTGCTAAGCATCCTTCCGCCATCAGAAGACAGAAAGCTCTGAAACAATGTACATTACAGAATATTGCAATCAATGCAGGAGTACCATTATGTTTGAGAATATGGTGGGCAATGATGCTTTTCTTTGGAAATGGGTAAACACTGGGGAGGAGTCGTCACCTGGTTCCCATGTGGAACAAGAGGACAATGTAGCAATGAAATGGTGCAATGAAAAAGGCAAAAGATATCATCTCTAGAGGAATAAGAACAAGTTCAATTCACTTATGGGATAATAGAGGCTAATGAGTTCTGTCAAAATCAAAGGCCATAGTTCTGTGGCAGAACTCATGCAAGCATACAGGAGAACCCACTTCAACTACCAACAGGTCCGACAGGACTGTGAAAATTCTTGCCTGAAACCCGGATAACTGTTGCCAGCCAGTGTTGACCATACTGGACCAGATGGACCTTGGTCTAACTCAGGCCAGTTCCTAAGACTCTATGGACCATGGTACTTCTGCTGAAGGCAGACATCAATGGACTACAAAACCCAAGACATAATACATTCTCAGGCCAAGCACCATAAAAAACACACAGTGCATAAACTCCTACAAGTCACACTGCATTGCTGGAGGATGAGAGTTATGAGCCACACAAGGGATCTGCACAGTGGGCACAAAGCCAATTTTTCCAATACATTTTGTTTTTCATGCTTTAGCCTGGAGAGACCCATCAAATGTATGTATAAGGGGACACATCTTATGCTAAACTGCATTCAAATGAATAAGACTGCTAATGCATGGAAATCAAAAGTCGCTTGGTCTTGCAAGGGGACAACAAACATCAGCCTATACCAGGCTAAAATGGAAAGAATCTTTCAGAAGGAAATAGAATAAACTGATACTGGCTGGAGTCCTATGCTTACACTTTGCCAAGTTCCATCACCTCACTTACTTCAGAGTAAACACACTTAGGATACAGTTGATTCCCTGACAACACTGAACCCTGAGAGGAGCTAGCAGAGATGTAAACTGCATAGAGGAGGCGTTTTTTGCCTTCTCTAGGAAAGTTGCAACAAGATCGCCTCAGATAAAACGTGGGAATTCCTTCGCCCACCAGGGCCTGTTCATAGACTACATTTTAAAGCATCCCTGACGGAATGTTTTAAACACGTGACTAGCCAGCGTTTCCAAATACACACGGGATTAGAGGGACACGAATACGGGATTCCCTCCAGCAAACGTAGTTGCAAATCCGGGTTTGCTTCCACGTAATGTGTGAACGGGCTCAGAAGAAGATCAAGGTTAACCCTTCGACACCCGCCCCCCTTCGAAAAGGAGGCAGAACTGAGGCATACAAGGCGCGAGGACATTTCAGCCAGGATAACTGGGCAAAAATACCCAGTCGGCAGTCGATTCCACGCCGAGGAATGTAGCGGGATCAGGGCCTGAGGGATCCTCCAACGAGGCGAGGCAGTCCCAATTAACCCCCACCCGCCCTCCACAGAAACGCAGCAAGCGACCCCTCCAGATTCGACGCGGAGGCTGCAGGCAGAACACCCACGTTTGCCCTTACCTGGCTGGCCTTATGGAACTGTTTCTTCAGCCCCGCCACCGACATGCTTCCTCCGCCTTGGGCGCCGCGATAGCTCCGCTCCGAAGCCCCCAGCCAAAGAACACAGCGGGCGTTTCCCGGGCCGATGCCAGGCCCTCGCCGGGCTCGCCGGAGCCCGCTTTCTGCGCCCGATGCCCGGCCAACCAGCGAGCCAGCCGGCCGCCCTCCAGTCTCCAGCGGCACCCGGGAGGGCAGATGGAAGAGCCCTCGCATTCCAAACATGCTCCACGCCCGCCGGCCCATTGGCCAGACGGGCCGTCTATGCAAATAGCGGCGAACGGAAGCTCGCCCAGCGATTGGTCGATAAGAGGAAGCTATGCAAACAGGGAGAAACTCGGGGACGCCCACGTTCCGTTATCGCTTGGAGACGGCGGGAAGGGGCAGGAGCACGTCGGAAGCGGGAGGTGGGGAGACGCGGGTACGGGAAAGACTCCTCCGTGGCTGCTGAGCGCGAAGGCAGATGGCTGGCGCGGGGGTTGCCATTGCGGGGGTTGTGGAGCGGGGGAGCGGCATTCCAGTGCGCTGGAATTCATCGCTGCTGTACAATTCGGATTGACAACAGCCACGGGGCAGCCGAATACAAGGACGCCTCAATTGCAATTCGCAAGTAATATCTAAGGCTCGTTTCACTTGAATTTGCGTGCGTGTGTTCCATCAAGACGATGCCACCATCAGCCTTGGTTCTCAGCGTTATATCACAGAATAGTAGAGTTGGAAAGGGTCAAGAAAGGTCCAGCTCACTGCTGTTGCAGGACACCATGTTACACCATCCCACTCAAGTGGCTGTCCAGTTTCTTTCTGAATGTCTCCAGCGTGGGAGAGCCCAGCACCTCTCTAGGCAGCTGATTCCACTGTCCTATTGCTCTGACAGTGAGGAAGCTTTTCCTGATGTCCAGTCAGAATCTGGATTGTTGCAACTTGAATGGATTATTCCGTGTCATACATTCTGGCATCAGTGAGAAGAGATCTTTTGTGACACCCTTTGAGGTACTCCTAGAGGGAAAGCATGTCCCCCCTCAGTCTTTTCTCAAAGCTGAACATGTCCAGTTCTCAGTCTCTCCTCATGGGGCAGTGTTTCCAGACCCTGGATCATTTTTGTTGCCCTCCTCTGGACCCTTTCTAATTTTTCTGCACCTTTCTTAAATCTTGGTGCCCAGAACTGGGCACAGTAATACAGATGAGGACTGACTAGTGAGGAGTATAGGGGAAATACTACTTCTCATTATTTGGAAGTAATACTTCTGATAATGCATCCCAAAATAAAATTTGCCCTTTTTTGCAGCTGCATCACATTGTTGACTCATATTGAGCCTGTTGTCCACAATAATTCCACATCTTTTTCAATTCTGTTGAGCCACTTAGTCCCCTCTTGTACCAATGGGGTTTCTTTTTCCTTCCTTCCATTTGGTTTCTTTTTCCCAGGTAGAGGGCTCAGCACTTGTCCCCATTGAATCTCATTCTGTTGTTTTCAGCCCAGTGTTCAAGTTTATCAAGATCGCCCTGGATCCTAATTCTGTTTTCTAGGGTGTTCACTATTCCACCCAGTTGTGTATTGCCTGCAAATTTGATTGTCGTTCCTTGTAGTTCCTCATCTAAAGCATTAATAAAGATGTTGAAAGCCCAGGACTGAACACTAGTTATCTCCATCCTATTTGAGAAGGTGCCATTGATGAACACTCTTTGTGTCCCATATAGCAGCCAATTTTGGGTCCACCTAATGGTTTTTCCATCTAGTCCAGTTTTTGCTAATTTGCTTATCAGAATGTTGTGGAGCACTATGTTGAAAGCTTTGCTAAAGTCAAGGAAGCTAATGTCCACAGTGTTCCCTTTGTCCATTTGGGAGGTTACCCAGGGAAAAAATGGGATTAAATTAATCTGACAGGATTTATTTTTGATACATCCATGTTGACTTTTACTGCTCACTGCATTTTCTTCGAGGTACTTGCAGAGTGATTTTTAAATAATTTGCTCCAGAGTTTTTCCAGGGATTGATGTCAGACTAACTGGTATGAAGTTCCCAGGTTCATGTATCCCCCCCTTTTGAAGATGGGGACACAACAGTAGTCCTTCTCCAAGATTTATCAGAGATAATAGCCAGTAATTCTGAGAGTTCTTCCGCTAGCTCTTTTATGACTCTGGGATGTTCATCAGGCCCTGGCAATTTGAATGTGTTTACTCCATCTAGGTTTTTCTTGAACATTCTTGAACATCTGTCTATCTTGGGCTGCCATCTGTCACTTCCAGTTAGTACTTCCTCTTGGTTGTGGTTTTTCTTGTGGGAGAAGACTGAGGCAAAATAGGAATTGAGAACCTCTGCCTTTTTCCTGTCATCTGTGATCATTCTGCCATCCACTTTAACTAGCTGGACACCCTTGTCTTTTGCGTGTCTTCTGTTTTGGATGTATCTGAAGAAGGCTTTCTTGTTCTTAGCATCCCTTCCTGACACCATCCCTGCAATTCCTTGCTATTCATTTGTATCCTTTGTGGCTTGGCCCTGCCTTTACCTCCTGCACATGTTCTGTTTTTCTTTCAGGTTGTCACTTAGCTCTTTGTGGAGCCCTGTGGGCTTCCTCTGCTGCCTTCTACACTTTTTTCTTGTTGGAATATCCGTGATGTCGCCATGTGTTTCCACTTTCTAGGCTGCACGAGAATTGGGCCTCTGCAACAACATAATCATGGCAATTATCCTCCAAATACCACCCCAAGCGGTTTGTTCAAAAGTTTGTTAAAGTACTAGCCCACCTTTTTCTTTTTCAAGAACTCCTTCTCTTCCTTCTGCTCTCAATCTTATCCCCACAATGACCCTGTGTGGTAGGTGGGACTGAGTGTCTGTGACTAGCCCAAAGTTGAGAATTGTGGTGGTTGGTTGTACTTGTTTAGTTTTAATCAAATGAATTTATATTCCACCATTCCAATTCCTTGTCCAAGGCGATTCCTAATTTAAAAAAAAAAAACTGTAAAGCAATAAGCCAAAAATCACCAGCAACAGACTCTAATGATTACATGCACATTTTATATTTATTATGTGCCATCAATTTCTTCTGACTTATGCAACTGTATGAATGAATGCCGAGCAGAATGCCCTACTCAGCTCTTCTAACTTCAAGGCTGTGACTTCCTTTATGGCCTCTCATATTAGGTTTTCCTTCTGCCTTCCGCTCTCCCTAGCATGATGATCTTCTCCAGTGTGCCTTGCCTCATGATGTGCCCAGAGTATGACGGATTCTGTTTATATAGTCTCTAACATAAACAACTGAACAGTTGGTTGTCGGCATTATTTTTTCCGTGTAAACACTGAAGAAACACAATTGAATTTCCTCCCACGTACTGTTCATGGTTAAAAAGTTGAAAACATGGAGCTGGCTTGGATCAGTGAAAATCTCACAGCCAAACCTACCCCATTGGGTTGTTGGAAGGCTAAAAGTCTGCCTGGATCTCATTACAGAAAGGGTGGAAAACACTAACAAATAATCACAAATGCAGTTGTCTACCTGGTTTTGGGACCAGATGAAACTAGCTGTCTACTCCCACCTAGTGGCTGAACCTCAAAGACTGTATAGCTGCTGAGTACATCAAAGATTGCCTTTAATTTAAAGCATCGGTTTCAAGCAGCTCCACTTTCAGCATCAACTTTGCTAGACCCAGAAAAGAGCAGCTTTCCTACCATCACCCATTTCTTCAACTTTGGAATAACGTGTTGCTTTAATGCACTCGTTGCCCATAGCATGTGCTGGATGAGCAAGTTGCATTCATGATCTGTGAGAAAATGAGTCTGCACACCTGGATTAGATTGCAACCTCACTTGTGTGGCAGGCACACCCCTTTTACAACCAGCAGGGATGCTGTGCATTTCCACATGAGCAACGGGGGGCATTCACGCAATGGTGGCCACACAGGTTAGTGCTGGCAGCTTTAAGAGTGGAGAGGGCTTCTGTAAAATTTGCTGTCAATGCTTTGCGGGCACCTGGGTAGGTAATCTGTGCTGGCCTTACCCTGCCTGCACCTCCAGTGTCAGTGGCAGGATGCCTCAGCATCCTAGTTGTTATGCATTTGTTTACATGTGTTGGGTAACGTGGGTCGGAGGTGTTGCTGCACTCATGTTCTCCGTGTTCCTAAAAGAATTAAATGGCGCCAAGCAGTGCATATGCCTTTCAGCACCAGAGCAGCTCACATGCCAGACTCCTGCCTGAACAAAAACAGCGGAAGGGGAACAGAAGGGGGCCCACTTAGCCTCCCCCTGCAAGGTGTTTCCATCCCTTGGGCAGCCACTGAAAAGGCCCTTATCACCATACGATTTATTTGCTTATTTATTTAAAACATTTTTATCCTGTCCTTTCCAGAAGCCTCGGGATGACTTACAGTCATAAAGGTTGCTTAAGGTATAATTTATTTTAAAAGGAGGAAAGCCAACAACATCTAGAGATCCATGCATCCCCCCCCACCAGGCCAATAAAGCTTTTAATGTTATGGAAAGAAGCACCATCGCCTGAAGATGAAGCAGCTGATAAAGGCATAGGAGCAGAACCCAGTGAAACGTTTGGTTATCCTAGCCAAAATATGGTCTTATCTGGTGATCTATTCATAAAATGAAAGTGGATTGTAATTTTTTTCACTTGGAAAAAAATACAGTTTCCTTGATTCTGGCTTCCTGCATGCAACATGTGTATTCTTTTTAGTTTCCTAGATTTGGCATCCTGGTCTGGTGATAAAGAGACAAATTGCTCTTTCTGGCCTATGTCCCATTCGTGATAAGAAAGCCATCGTGTATCCATTGCACACACACACATTTCTCCCTCTCTTGCTTCTGAAAAGGAGCTGAGTCCCAGCATCGCCATCTGCTGCAAAACCTCGGTGCATCTTCCTTGGCATCGGTGAATATTCCCGTCTCTCAGTCTTAACAAATGTTTTATGGCAGAGATGCTGTTTTGCTTTCAGTGAAACCCAAGAGGCCTTTGGGGAACTGCCCAGGTTGTACATCTGGGAATCATCACACGATAGGTCTGCTGGTTGGTGAGGCAACAGGAAAGTATGATGGGTCACAGATGTTAAACATGGAAATGCTCCACAAAAACTCTAGTTCACAGAGGTTCACAAAAACAGGCTTCCAAAGCCCTCACTTGCAAAATCTAGTTTGTTTGTTTATTTTAAATCGCACCCACAAAATGAAAATGAGAAG